AGAGGACTTCAATTACTGATTTAATTTCTTCTTTAGCTTCTGGGCTTAAAGGATATAGCATTTTCCTGGAAAATGGCTTTGTGGGGTCAGTTTGAATGTTAACTGTTCTGTGTCTCATTTAATTAGAATGTTTTCCCCCCATAGAATATCTGGAGCTTGCTTTTTCTTATGCTGGGAAATGCAACACTGAGTGCCTCCTAAATAGCACAGCACATCTCTTCCAACAGGATTTAGAAAAGAGAGGAAAAAGGCTTGCTGAGTAGCAATAGGTCCTACAGAGACAATGAGCTGCTCAGAAAAAGGATGTGGAATAGGTGGATTAGACATTCCAACTGTCTATGCCACAGTGGAAGAACATTGGGAATTCTGAAGTTCTGACAGTAGAATAAAAAGTGCTGTTATCTGAAAAGAAAGTTGATTTAGTGTAGTGGTTAAGGCACCAGGTTAGAAACCTGGAGATAGTGCTCTTGTCCCTCCTTAGCAACAAAGCCAACTCGATTACCTTCGGCCAGGCACTCTCTTTGAATCCCAAGAAGCAAGTAAGGGCAAGAAAACTCCGTGGAATTGTCTGGGCCAGAGGTAGGGAACCTTGGCTCTTTTATGACTTGTGGACTTCAATACCCAGAATTCCTGAACCAGCCATGCTGATACAGGAATTCTCAGAGTTGAAGTCCACAAGTCATAAAAGAGCCAAGGTTCCCTACCGCTGGTCTAGGCAATTGCCAGGAGTTAATATTGATTTCAGGTACATGGATTCAAAATGAATCTAGGAGGTAAGGAACAATTCTGGACCATAGAATATAGAATGGAAAGGGGCCTTTGAGGTCTTCTAGTATAGGGGTCCCCAATCCCTAGGCTGTGGCCCACTACCAGGTTGCAGCCTGTTTGAAACTGGGCCATGTGAACAATGGGCAAGTGTGTATGTACGAAGTTCCACTCGAATGAATGTCGGGCAAGTGCACGAGAGCGGTGGGCCCTTGTGCATGCGCGTGAAACTCCACTCACGCAGGTGGATGTTTGTGCTTATGTGCAAACCTCCATTCATGCAAATGGAGCTTCATGCACCCACACGTGAGCACAAGCGCCCTCCACTTAAGGGCCATCTGCTCACACAAGTGCAGCTCTGCGCGCAAATGCAAGTGCCTGCCATTTGTGTGGGTGGAGCTTCACACACACACACACACACACACACGATTGCCCATTGTTCATGCAGTCCCATTTCAAAGTGGCCATGGCCCAGTAGGGGGTCAGGGTCCAGGGTTTGGGGACTTTTGGAGTAGAAGAGATCTGTGTGTGCACACTTGTGCACCTGTCACTCACATAACCCAACCCCCTCTGTCCTAGGCCCGGTCGCCAAGCTGGAAAGGTTGAGGACCCCTCTTCTAGTCCAACCTCCTGCTCAAGCATTCTGGACAAATAGCTGTCCAATGTCTTCTTGAAAGCCTCCAGCGATGGAGCATCCACAACTTGTAGAGGCAAGCTGTTCCACTGATTATTTTTTCTCACTATTAAGAAATGTCTCTTTAGTTCTAAGTTGGATCTGTTTTTTATGATCTTCCACCCATTATTCTTGCCCAGTCCTCAGGTGCTTTGGAGAATAGGTTGAGTCTCTCTTCTTTGTAGTTGCCCCTTAGATGTGGGAAGACTGCTTTCATATCACACCTAGCCCTTCTCTTTATTAGGTATAATTAATCTAACATCATCTTTCTTTGCAGCAGTCAACAAAATCTGCATAGGTAGGAAGGGATGAAAGGAGCTCTCTCTTTTTTTTGTCATTTTAAACATCTAAACTTGAGAGTCTATTGTAGAAATCTTGTAGTGTTTTTCCTTGCTAGTCTAGAGATAAAGAATTTATAAATAAAAAATCCTATTGCCCTTTCTGTTCTCTCTGTATGTACTGCCAATTCTTTTACCATTAGTGTCTTTGGTAATCAAATCACCCTCATGCTGAAATTGCTGAAAAAGAAAGTAAAAGGGTATCTTCATTGCCATGCAATTCAAAAACCATGTTGTCCCTAAAAGCATTTAGATTAGTGTTTCTCACCTTTGGCAAATTTAAGGAGTGCGAACTTCAATTCACAGAATTATGAGAGTTGGAATTCATACATCTTAAGGTTGCCAAGGTTGAGAAATAGTAATTTAGATAAAAACACCAGGAATGAAGTACACTCTCTGAAGATAGAGATACTCCACATGCATATATGTTAACACTATTTCCAAAAGGGAAATAGCTGTATAAATAAATCACAAATCTTCTACAAATGTCTAAACCCATTCCAAAGGCAATTTTTACACATTAATCAGCATTATCTTAGCTCATAAATCCTGATATTAAAAGTACATGGCAAACAAAAGGTATTTCTGCTGTTGGAAAATTCAGAAATACCAGTATTATGATAGGAATCCTCTATGCAGTATTAGGATAGGAGCCCTCTTTTTGGCTTTGTGGATTGGCGGGGGGATGGATGGCGAGGGGATGGTTCCATGCACACATTGTTCACACAAATGTAGTATGTGCACCTGCGCTCGCCCACTGCTCATGTGAATGGGGATGCACACCCGTGTTCTCCTGCCACTTCTGTGGCCCGATTCCAAAAGGCTCAAGGCTCGGTATTGGGCCACAGGCTGGGAGTTGGGGACCCCTGCTCATTTGTAACAAAGCAAAGACAATGTATGTGCAGTAGAAAAATTCAGCAAGAAATGCAGCTATCATGGGAACACATTGTACTACAGAAATTCCAAAACATAAAGGCATAATAATTTCATAATGAAGTTCAGTGTAATTATGCAAAACACTTCCCCATGTGCTTGGCACTCCTCCTTGTTTGGGAGAGAGAACAGGAACAACACGGGACTGAAAGGGCATGTATGTGCAAGTAGCCCTTGACTTACGAACACAGTTGAGTCCAAAATTTATGTTGCTGAGACCTTTGTTAAGTGAATTTCGCCCCATTTTATGACCTTTCTTGCCACAGTTGTTAAGTGAATCACTGTAGTTGCTAAGTTAGTGGCATGGTTGTTAAGTGAACCTGGCTTCCCCATTGATTTGCTTTTCAAAAGGTCACAAAAGGTAATCACATGACCTCAGGACACTGCAACTGTCATATATAGGAACTAGATGCCGTGTGTCTTAATTCTGATCACATGACCATGAGGATGCTGCAAAGGTCGTTAAGTGTGAAAAATGGTCCTATGCCACTTTGCCAGTGCTGCTATAACTTTGGACAGTCACTAAAGAAATGATTATAAGTTGAGGATTACCTACGTATCATATGTAGAACCCCGCATCCATTCTGTTATACTTCTTTTATTAAAGCCAGTGGGATATACATGGTTTCATGGCAATAAAACAGTATTGAGAAACAAATTCAGTGGATATGTTAAGTTGCAGTTCCACAAGGAATAAAAAAGAGACAGAAAGTAAAATGTCTACAAAATGCAAAAGGAACTTAGATTTTAATTTATCCCTTAGGGAAGAACATTTGGGGGAAATGATACAAACTGGTATTTAAAATATGAAAGTTGCTTTCTCTGTTTGAAGGAGAACACAGAGACTAACAGGAGGTGGATATCTCACCGTATCATTTAACTGTTAAGATGTGTCCCACAATGCATGCTTTGATACTGCATTTAATCTTTTGGCTTAAAGATAAGAGAACGTGCAGTTTTATTTGCCTTAAGGACCAAAGATAAGACACACAGTTAGAGCCTGATGGCAGGATGTAACCAGTCTATGACATTCTTAGAGGCAAAATGCCCCCGAACCACAATCTCATCCAACTCACAACTGGTTCATCCAGACATCCCAGTTTCTCTTGACATTTTTGCCTATGTCCTGAAGGATGCATAAGGTTTTAGGGAGTGTTGACAGTTGACAGAAATAAACAAAACTGGTGAGCTTCCATTAATTGCCTCAGCTTCTTCAAATCTAGCGGTTTGAAAGCATGCAAATGCAAGTAGGTAAATAGGTACCACTTTGGTGGGAAGGTAACAGTGTTCCATGTGCCTCGGCTCACAGTCACGCCAGCCACATGACCCATGGAAGTGTCTTCGGACAACTTTGGCTCCCTTGGCTAGGAAATGGAGATGTGCACCGCCCCCTAGAGTCAAAAAGAACTGCATGTGTTCTATTGTTTTGTGCATCTGCTTTTGATATGCCTGAAAATTGCATGTGGCATGCAAATGCAAGACATGGGGATTGCATAATGCCTGCGCTGGCTGCCAGTTGTCTAATAGGTACAATTTAAAGTATTGATTTTTTGTGGCTTAGGGCCTGATTGAAGGACCATCTTTCTCAACGGTAACTTGTTCACTTTCTTAGATTAACAGGCGGGCGTCATTTGAAAAAGTTTAGCTATCTGATATGCAAGACATGGTCTTCTTCTGTGTGGCCCAATGCCTAATGCCAGCATTTCTCAGCCTAGGCACCTTTAAAATGCATGGTCTTTACACCCCCAGAATTCTGGGAGTTGAAGTCCACACATTTTAAAGCCACCAAGGCTGGGAAACATGATATAGGAGAGACTCTTCATTCCCCCACCCCCACCCTTTCACACATGATTTAGCAAAATGGCAAAATTCTTTTTGTCAAGCTATTAAGCATTTTTTAAATATTTTTGTAGTTCATATTTTATTGTTGCACATTACCTTTAATGTTTATTTAGGTATAAAAGCAGGATATAATTTATAATTTAATTAATTATAATTTAATAAATGATGAAAATGTGGGATAGATTAGAAGTTTATTTATGGGAGATTTTTAGACTACCAAATCTAAGACACGATTATGAAAATACATGCCCATTTTCATTTCTCCATTTGGCGTATTATGTAGACTGGCAGGTAGCTGTATATATCTGGAATTGGATGATTATATGAGACAGCATCATGAGCATTTAGTTGCCAAGAAAATGTGAAAAGGCCAGCATTTCACAGCATAAGAGATGATTTCTAAAAATTAATACCACCTAGTCAGAAGAAGACACAAAAGCACAACATTGTGGGTTTTTTTTTCTTTCTGAAATTTAATATGTAAACAGAAATATAACAAAGGGAAGCTGTTTCAGTTAATAGCTATAGGATTATAATAGATATAATCAAGAGAAAAATACACAACAGTATCAGAGTTCTCAAAGAAAGTACACTGCAATGCAAAGAATTACTTAAAAAAAAACGTAAAGTTCTATTTTAAAAAGAGGGCCAAAATGGCAACAAAAGATCTGATATTGGAGAGGTTAAAAAAAACATTAAGAAGCAGAGGGGATTATTTTGGTTCCTTATCCCTCTTTATTGATTTAGATCAATAATGTTCACATTTTATTTGACTTACATTACAATTATTTCTGGAGTTACAGTGAGCTCCAAACAATGGGTGTCCAATTCAGTTACTTATTCAGCAATACTTCCAATATAACCATATCTTGAAGACCCATTGAACTCAGATTGAATTAATTCTGAATAGGAGTGTATAGGTCTGATCTGATGGCATTAATCCCGGAGTTGAGGGATGGGTGGGTGGGGGGAAAGAGTATTCATTTCAGCAGATGTTTTTAGACTCCAATTCCACACTGACTACTGTTCTTGTTGGATGATTCGGTGGAAGTTGGAGAAACACAAACATATAGAGATCCTGATGTTCATGATGCCAGCATTTTTATTTTGAATCACGTGGCTTAGGAACAAAAGTTGCTGGTATCTTCTATTGCTTACTTCCTGCTTTTTGCCTCTATTCTCCTCCCACTTTATTATTATCCATCATTTTGCCATTATTCCTATGAACATTTTGAAAGCAATTATTATATTAGTTCATTTATTTATTTCTATCCTGTCTTTATTATTTTCACAAATAACTTGAGGGGGTGAACATATCCAGCACACCTTCTTCCGCCTTTTTCCTCCCCAAACCCATAGCTAGTAGACCTCTACAAACATCTGACCGATCATATTTATGTATATTTTTTTTCTATTTGTATACCATCTTATCTGTTTGTAATGAACCTGCGGTAAAAACAGCCAGGAAATAGATACTGAACAAGCAGAGCACATCATATAACTTTTAAAAACAAGGGTTGGCAAACCAAGCTCTAATAGGGGGTATTTGTAGAAGTAGAGAAAAAGCACCTTGGAAGGAGAACAGGAAGTACATCTCCATTCCAAAGTGCCCGAACAAATCGACACTGATCTGAGTAGTTTCCAGGAAACCCAAACCAATGCAAGAGTAAGTATGAGGTCAGAACTGTGTAGCCAAGATCAAATATTTGCACTGAAAGTTCAAATTAGGTTCTTCATGTGATTGGTAATAACTGCACAATAAACTTGAAACATTCCTATATTCAGTGAATTGCTCTTGTTTACAAATAAATATCCAATTATAATAAAACATAATTCAAAATAGGAAAACTTGGATAATTTCTCTTTTGGCTATCTATAATGAATGCATTTTTGCCTAGCATCAAGAGGAAATTAACAAGAGAAAACTCTGCCAAGTCAAGCCTTCAAGACATGTTTTTTTTTTTTAAAAAAAAGACATAAACCATCATTTGCCAGTACATGATGCTAATTGAAATAACAACACTTTTTGAGAAAACTCATCTAATACAGACAGTAAATAGACACGTAACTATTTACCTTTTAAATAGGTAATATTCTGGTTTTAAAAACACATCAGATTATTCAAGGGGAAGATATCTGCAATATTTTTTTAAAAAAGAAATTAAAAGTGGAAGAAGACGAATACAGGAAATTACAGTTCCAAGGAATTCTATTTCACAGTATATGCAGTTTTAAATATATATATATATATATATATATATAAAAGCAAAACTATTAGAAATGTTAATGCTGTTCACCGGTAACATATATAAATGCATGTAGAAAGGGAAATGCCTAAATAAATAGTTACTAAAATAGTAACTAAGTGGACTGTTCTGTGGATAATTTCTTATTTGACCATGTATATTATAGGTGTGTTTTAATGACCAATATTATAGAAAGGAACAAAAAAAATCTAGCCCTTGTAATTACTGAGACAGAAAATGCTGGAAGCAAGAATTAAAAGCCAGATAAATGTTATATTTGGGTTGTTTGAGGACACACAGATGGAAGGATCAAAACTGAGGGAATGCAAAGGGCTTAAGCACAGGAGAAAAGAAAATGAAGTTACATGAAGGGAAAAAACGTAAAACAGGATTGGTGTAGGGGCATTTTGGTGCTTTACATGAAAGTCAAATCCTTCTGGGCCCATCTTGAAAAACACGGATGCTCCAATTAGACAATAATGGTTTCCTTCATCTAATCCACTTCAAAGGCCTACCTCAATAGATCCCTTTAAACTTACTGTGTATGGATCCCAGAGTGAAGCCCAGATCACCATGCTCAAAGTATGGATGGAGGTTGAAGTATTCCTATTGTGGTAACAATAGGAAGGGAAATATAGGATACATCTGATAAATTGGTGTGTGTGGGGGGTTGGCATGCGTTCTTTACATAGCAAATAGGGAAAAAATGTGGATTAGAATAATGGTTCCCAAATCTTTCAGTGTTAATGAGCTGATCTAGAATATATTGTGGATACATTATAGGATTGCTATGAAGTTGGGCTTCTAGGTTGACAAAGTAGATGTCCTGCTAGGCCAATAACAAAACATTTAATTATTTGCACCCACCCACTAACTGTCCCCAGCATTACCTCTTTCCCCCACCCATGTGTCTTTAGTGCCATATGGAAATACTTCCAAAAAAAGGGGGGGGGAAGGTTGAGCTATAGCCAATACTCAAATATAAAACTGCCTTAATACATTGCTGTCCCCACAATAGTCAAGTTGATTCCCTGAATAGTGTTTGTAGGACACTAAAATTATAGGCCCACCACACTTGATTACCAGCAGATCGAGTTATTGCTTTACAAAGTAAATGCTCTGGTTACAGGAAAGAAAAATCTAACAAGGAAGGTGACCGGGTGTGCAGTAACCAAGACACCCACATTAGCTAATTTTTCCAGTTGAAAAGGGAAGTCTTTCCATTCTGAATTCAAATGCAGGGAAGTTTCAGAACCAGTACAGTGAAATGCTTTTACACAAAGCTCAGGTAAATAACAGAGTGTGCAGCCATCAGATGTGGTATGGCCACAATTTAATAGTTTTAAAAGAAGACAAAACAAATTCATGCTTCCTCCAGCATACAAGGGCAATCTACCCTAGAGATCAGAAAGAGGGAAATAGTTTTTGAGTGTCTGGCCACTGTGTGACACACAGAATCCTGGACTAAATAGGCTAGCTCCATCAGGGCTGTTAATCTCATCTCTTCATGCTACCCTGTCCCTATTCCAACCAATTTAGGCAGACTCAGCATTTTTCCAAGCATCATGTAAGATGTGGAAAAATCAGAGGACAGGTGGAAATAAAGAAATTAAATGCATATAAAAGGATTGCTAGAAATGCCCTTCTAGATCTGGCAGTGAAAAGCTGAGCCCGAGGTCCTACCCTTGGTCTGCAGAGGCTTCTGCCACCATTTAACAGCTGCCACAATATGTGAGGTAGTGGTAATTGCTCTCTCAGGAACCCTAGAATCATGGAGCATTGAACCTAGCATTATGGCAAAAGCCAAGGTAGAGAGAAACTGAATGGTCCACCATGGGCATTTCTCCAACCCAACAGAATCCCACTGAAGGCAAGACTGGCACAACCATGGAACTGAATCAGCCTTCCTCAACATGAGGAATTCTTAGTAATGGCTGTGTGTTGCCCTGGGAATTCTGAAGTTCAAACATGTGGATGGTGGAGGTTGAGAAGCCTGCCCTGAATGCAGGGCTTTTTTTTCTCATAGAACACCCAGAACGGAGTTCCGGCACCTTTTTGGGATGAAATCTTGTAGGGCAGGCAAGGCGGGTTGTATAACATGTGTGAGTTCCAGCACCTTTTTTTTCTTCAAAAAAAAAAAAAAAACCACTGCCTGAATGGATATAGAAACTGTGGGGGAGAGATTTATGGTATGCGTCAGCGTGTATTACAGGCAGTCCTCAATTTACAACCACAATTGAATCCAAAATTTCTGTTCCTAAGTGAGACAGTTGTTAACTAAGTTTTGCCCCATTTTGCAGTCTTACTTGCCACAGTGATTAAGTGAATCACTGCAGTTATTAAGTTAGAAACACAGTTGTTAATTTAATCTGGCTTCCCCACTGACTTTGCTTGTCAGAATGTCACAAAAGAGGATCACATGACCCTGGAACACTGCAATGGTCATAAATATGAACCAGTCGCCAAATATACAAATTTTGATCAAATGACCATTGATGCTGCAATGGTCGTAAGTGTGAAAATGGTCATAAGTCACTTTTTTCAGTGCCATTTTAACTTTGGTCATTAAACAAATGGTTGTACATCAAGGACTACCTATACAATTATTGTGAAGCAGCAGCAATTTGGATCAATAAATAATACAGGTCAGTCTTTGCCAGTGTGGGAATTTGCCAGAGGTATAGATTTCAACTCCAAGAATTTTCCAGTCAGCATGAGAGGACTGAGAATTCTGAAGGATGAAGTCCATAACTTGGAAAAGCACCCAGATTGACTAATACTGAAATAATTATTTATGTTCAGTTTGACAGCCAAGCATCTTTCCTATTAATATGTCAGTTTCTGGAAGGCTGGTAGATTAAGGAAGAAATCTCAGTTGAACATAGGAAATGTTATATAAAACCGTTGGGTTCAGCTAGATCATTGATCCACCTTGTCTGTTATACAGTAAGTTGGAATAGCTTTCCAAGAATTTCAACCAAGAGATCTGCACCATTTTCACAAATAATATCACAGAGTGTAAACATAATTATTATTATATTTAGCCCCATTTTACAGGTAGCAAAACTGAGACACAGCACTTGCTTCTTATCACTGCCCTAGTGATAAGCTTTTATCCAAAGTTCCTGCCAAAAGACCAATCATTCATAAATTTCCACTATAAACTTTTTATGGATGTTTCCATATATCCCCTTTAAATCTTTCAATATTACTGCAGGCCAGGCTTATATGGGCAAGGCATTCTGCCCTGGTTCAACAATCTCAGTGAGCATGACATCCAGTTATCTCAGGCTGACAAGTTCTTTTGGCAATATCAGAATTGTGGTCCATCTAGAAAAACAGCGATTTTGGCAGTGAGTTAGCTGTGACTGGAGAAATATCCTTCTCATCTCACAATGGTTGAATTACAAAAGAGAGGATCAGGAGTAGCAAATCTAGCAAGGCATTGTAGGTATTGCGTAGCTCTGCTCCACTCCTCCTCCAATTCTGTGTTCACCAGATTGAATTCATATTTAAACAACTTACTGTAAAAAAAAAAAAGAAGGAGATGAAGGACATCCATTCACTTATGGCAATAAAAAAAAATGCTGGTAGGCTGAAGGTGTTCTGAAATGGAATGAGGAAACACCTTTTCTTTAGAATATAGTGAAGCCAACTGAATTTAATCTATACAGCCTAGATACTTGAGTAAGGTTAATGGTTGAAAAGGGACATGGGCACATTAAAAAAAAAATCTAAGGTCCCCTGGCAAAAATGGAGATAATAGAAGGTGGGGAAAATCAAGGCTCAAAGCTATGGACAGGAGAGGGGGACTCCTTTCTAGTAAACCCAGCTGACAGGAACCCACTGTGGTTCATTGTACAGCTTCTGCAAGGCCACCTGAAGTTGCTGGAATGTCCGCTCCATATTATCATTCACTAAGCAGAGATCAAAGTAATGCCCATAGCCACGCTGAATTCGGCAGCTCTCATCCACAGTACGCTTCAGGTCAGCATCCTGGTTAAATACAGAAAAAAGCAGATTAGGCTGTAAATCAGAGGAAGGCAGTCACTGAAATTCTATAGGTAGATTTCATACCATTCTGAAGTGAAAATATACAAAAACTGTAACACAATCCCTAAAATAAACATATATGTCTCGCTCTTTGTCTATGGTATGTATATATATACACACCTAGGCATATATACATACATAGATATGCACAACACACCCTCTCCAAACTCATAAAGGGATAAAAATAAAATTCTGACTTGTGCATAACACAGCCTCAACCATTTTGCACCATCACTTCATCCAGTGAAGCTTTCAACCTTGCAAATGTTAAATATAGTTTCTGGGCCAATAGGTAAACACACCTTTGCTATAGGCCACTTAATTATAATCACAGCACAGGTCAGGAAAAGTATGTGGGGATATGCAAGCAAAATTACAATGGTCATTCCCTTCCTCCCTCCCTCCCTCCCTCCTCTTCCCTTCCCAGGAGGTAGGTAAGTAGCTGTTGCTGGGAGTGGGAGTAAGAGATTGCATGACTGGCTGGGAAACTGTCATGGAACATTGAAAATTAGGATCATGTGACCAGGTCCCAGCATTGGTAAGTTAGTCCATTTGAGATCTCTTTGTTGACAAGATTTTGCCTTATAAGGCACCAATCTGCTCAATTAAAGGTTACAAACACAACAGTGTTAGCACAATATAAAGTTATAGAATTTAGCTAATTTAGTTAGCTCCCTTCCCAAATTGTCACTTATTTTCATTTCCAGATTCTGAAAACTTCTCATGGAGACTCACCGTGAGTTGCTTAGTAGCTACACCACTATCCAAAGCTGCTTTGTTCATAGCTCGTAAAGTCTCAAAATTTGGTGCTTCAATGAATACCACATATGGGACGAACTCAGCTGTCCTCAACACCTTCACAGCCTATCCAAATATCCAACAAAGAGAATAATTGCCATTACAAATGCTCATCTTTCCACACCGCTAGCATGCTAGGCACTATACAAAATAGAGATGCTAATCATTTTCTGTGGTCACACATTTATTCTGGATTTAACGTGATTGCAGAATTATTCCATTTTCCAGGTTAGCACAACACTAATTCAGTATGCTGAGATCATACAAATAAACTAAGGTTGACACTAACTTAGTGAATAGCTGTTTCTCCATGTATGTTGGGAGAAAAATGTGTAGAAATATGATTTGCACAGTAACATGAACATGAGGCAGTATAATTGTCAACATTTCAACAATAACAGAGAAAACTGAATTTGGGGGAAATCCCATTTATTTGTCACAGTTAGGATTATTACAACTGAAGAAGCTGGCATATTAAAAATTTATACAGATATACTGAGATTTCTAAAAATTACAGACCCCCAAAGTGCCCGGTGTCCTGTAAATCAGGGGTGTCAAACTGGCAGCCTGTGGGTCAGAGGCATCATGTGCAGGCCATGACCACCCCAGCTCCGCATAGGCAAAAAATGTCATGATATGTCATGTGACACGATCGAATTTGACACCCCTGCTGTAAATGGACAAATCTCTACCTAAGTAACCAGTGGATAATGGGAAAGATTCCCTACCTGTGGGTTAACATCTAGGATACACATTTTGCCTGACTCCACAACCTCATGGATGGAGTCAATCTTGGTTCCATAGAGGTTCCCCTCATATTCACCATGTTCCAGATAGCGTCCTGCTTTGATGTCTCTCTCCATCTCACTTCTAGTCACAAAGCTATAGACTTGTCCAGTTTTTTCATGCTCCTTGGGCCTCCGTGAGGTGTCTGTCAGAGATAGATTAAGAAACTGGGTTCAGTTAGAATAAACTTTGGCAATGTTTTTAGCCTGGATACTGTCATGGTCAGATATAACTCTACAAAAACATTTTTAAAGTGACATAATTTTATGATGCCACAATTTTTGGTATTTTTGAGCAGCCTGGTGGCCTGATGGTGAAGACAGTCACCTTCCAAGGCACAAAGAGAACATCTCTGTAGGCATCAGGAAGGGCATCCAGCCAATAAATACTCAGCTTCTTTCAGTCACCTGAACTCTTATCCCGAATTGAGGGATTATAGGGTCTTTAAAAAAAAAAAAAAGGAAACAGTCTTTGGTGTTTTCATGAAACTACAACAGGTACACTTCAGAGTCCAATGGTTCTCATTTCCTCATTTTGAATATGGAGATGACCTGTAACTCCTAGTCATGATTAAAAATCAGAACTGATATTTAGCCTTTGATCCAGGTCCAGAAGAAAACTCTTTGCATACTCCTGGATTTTCTTTTGTTTCTCTATGTACTGCAGATCCTCCATTGGGTTTCTATTAGAATCAGGACCTGGTACAGGTAGGCCTCAACTTATGATCACAGGTCAGCCCCAAATTTGTTGCTGAGACACTGGTTAAGTGAATTTTGCCCCATTTTATGACCCTTTTGCCACAGTTGTTAAGTGAATCACTGCAGTTATTAAGTCACTAATACAGTTGTTAAGTAAATCAGGCTTCCTCATTGACTTTGCTTGTCAGAAAGTTGCAAAAGGTGATCACATGACCCCAGGACACTGCAACTGTCATAAGTGTGAGTCACTTGGCCAACATCTGAATTTTGATCACGTGACCATGGGGATGCCGCAACTGTCATGTGAAAAGTGGTCATAAGTCACTTTTTTGGTGCCATTATAACTTCAAATGGTCATTGATTGAACTGTTGTAAGTTGAGGACTACTTGTTTAGACTTTTGGGTTTAATCTCTAGATCCCTGTGACGTAATGTTCCTCCTTCTCTTTCTTATTTCCTGCTATATTCCTTTCTAGAGTCACTCATACAGCTTCTTCACAGGGCCTTTGGTGACAACGTCTTTCTCTCGTGTTGCCTTTGCACAATTTTCATAATAAATTTGGGATGATAATTGTCCTCACAATATTTAGGAGATTTATGTCTTTTGAAAATAAGAAACACTTCTCTGTGGTGTCTAAAGGGGAGAAAAACGCCCAGGCTGAGGGATCCGATGACTCTCACCTTGTTCAACATCACAGACGATGCCTCCATCCAAAATTTCTATAAGTTAAAAAACTGGTTTACAATCTCCCATAGCATGACAAAAGAGAAAGGAAAGTTCTTCAAGTGCTCACTGAACCAGTCAACAAAGGGTGTGATGCACATTTTTAAAGCACTTTGAAAGTGCTCTTCCTCCCCTCCCCAGGGCTTAAAAAAGCTAGCACAGCATTTTAAAAAGCATAGTTCATATTGCATAACCAGTAAATTAAATAAGGCAAATGAAGTGATTGGGCAGGAGGCTGACTACACCAGTAAGAAACAGAACATTCCAGATTTTGTAATATTTTTCTCTCCTGCTTTGAAAGAATGGCAAAAACTAGGCCAAAACATACAGTAGAGCCAGCATTAATTTAGCAAATTCCCAGGGCTGAGCAATCGAAAGGCAAATATCAGATCCTGGTAAAATGAGGTCAGTAAAATGAAGACTTGTTGGGGGCAATATGCATATAATGCTTACATTGTAAACTGCCCAGAGAGTGCTGTAAAAGGCTATGGAGTGAGTTTAAAATGCTATTGTTATTGCTATCTACAGGGATCTCTTCAAATTTTATCTCCACAATGGCACTGTAAGGAAAGTAAGGCTGAGAGGTAGGAACTGGCTGAAAGTCACCAAGAAGTGTTTGGGGCTAAACGTAATGTCTCCAGATATACTAAGCATCATATACTACTATATAACATTATACAGAACTTCATAGGACTTAGGTAATCCATTCAATGAAGAGAACTGAGAAACTAGAGTAAATGCATATATTTTTCTACATCCACAGGTTGCTCCAGGTACATAATTCCTTCTCAGCCTGGCTGTCTATGAAATCAAAATATTTTCCACTAAAAAGGACCTTGGCATTGCTTAGTATTTCCCAACAAGAAATTACATGAAGAAAAGGCTTCCATGAAAAAATAAGCATGCATAAAATATGAGCGATGCTATTTCTAAGGTAGGTGAATTGATTGCTTAAGACCATAGATGCAGGGAATTGGAAGCACGTGCAACCCCTTTGAAACACAGGCGTGCCCTGAGCCCCATATATTCAAGTGTAATGAAGGATGTTTGCCCATTGTCAATATTTAAGTAAGATTTGACTCCAGATAACTCCTGTTCCTCAAGAGGAAGAAGTCTGTTGTTGGATGAAAATCATAGGCTACCCAACATCCTATAAGTTCTCCGTGCCCAACCTTGCAACTAAGCAATGCTACTAAAATATATTAGAAGAATACACAGAAACCCAATGAGAACAAATATGGTCAAAAGACACTCTGTTCTGAACTCCACCACAGTCCTGACCCACATGGGATAGTAGTTCCATATTGAGACTGGTCAGACATAATAATCTTGTTCTTAATACTACGCCTTCCAACCCCCTGGGCACCGATGAGCACCAAAGTTTTCCTGCGGAAAGGGGGCATTCGAGCCACTTCTTCATAGATCAGTAGCTCATGTCGATCAAACTCTGCAATGAAGAGGAAAGATATCACTGTTAAGTGTACTGCAGAGTTAACTGGTCACTAGTCCCTGTAACCTTCTGAGACCGGTTAGACTACAGAGTCCATTTCTATAGGCTGAGCTGAGTAAATTCAGTCTTGGCAGTTTTTCCAGAGAAAAATATTTGGACAGATTTAAGAAATTGCCAAAATAGATTTGCTTGGTATTTTTATCTTATATGAAGAAATTATTCTTTTGAAGTAGTCTGATTCATCAAAATGGAGACAACATTGCTAAGTTACCATTTGACAAATCAAACCCCTCTATTCCAACTCATGAGCCGAGGTGGCACAGCAATTAGAGTGCAGTACTGCAGGCCACTTTAGCTGACTGTGTTCAGCAGGTTAGCGGTTCAAATCTCACCGGCTCAAGGTTGACTCAGCCTTCCATCCTTCCGAGGTAGGTAAAATGAGGACCCAGATTGTTGGGGGCAATGTAAATATATATATATATATATATATATATATATATATATATATATATATATATATACACATTGCTTACTGGTGTACACCGCTTAGAGAGTGCTTGCACTTAAAGCGGTATATAAGTCTCATAAAATAAATAAATAAACTCGCCAAATCCATCATTTACTAGGAATGCCAACCCTACCAGACCTCTCCATCTCCCAGATTAGCTATTAAAAATTCACAGGTCTGCAAGCAAACTTGAAGTAGGAGAAATAGAATAATAAATTCTAAACATATTGTTCTTTTGAAAAGCCTGTACAAAAATATTTAAAGCCAGAATGGCATGAAACCAGGTTTTCTCCCTGAAAGTATCTGCCCATTCCACCAGGTCAGACAAGGCAGGCAAGCTTCTGATTGTTTCGCTTAAATGTTGTCATTTGGCAGGACTTCAGAAATATGCCTTTTCTGTGGTTCCCCCCCATCCTCTGGAACAGCCTCCCCACTGAGTTTTGGAAGATCTCTGCCCTATTAACCCTTTGGAGGGGTGTGAAACCCGGCTCTTTACCTAGGCTCTAGACTAGGATAGAAGCAAGCCCAACAAGGTTAAGAGTACGGGGACAATATGTGATATTGTGTAAACCACCTAGGATTATTTTGAGAAATATAGGCAACCATGTATGTTTCTAAATAAACATAGTGCCAAGAAAGAAGACTTTGCCTCTTCTTACCTTTCTTCTATTCAGAATACCACCTTGGTGAACAACAGGCTGGGATGGAGAAGATTACAGGACACAGTGTTTCGTCAAGGATTTCTGCAACTATATTTGCTTCAGGCATTAGTTAGAAAAAGATGAATACCATACTTGCCTGCATTTTTGGTGGTCAAATACATCATCCTTTTCTTTTTCTTTCCACTAAGGCTTCCACACAAGGCCCCTGCCAGAAGAAGAAAGAAAACATGAAGCAAATTCAGTAAGTTGGAATAAGGAAAAATAAAATTCCAGAATGAGATAGCTCTAGGAAGTAATTAATAATAAAAACCCTGTTTAAGAAATGGTCTAATTATAGTAATTGTTCTCTGCTTATAGTCAAAGATCTGTCAATTCAAATCCTATCTATGTGCTTGAGGGTTTTTTTGGGGGGGATGGGATAAAACAAAAAATGACATCTCTCAATTATTTTTACATGACGTGATATTGGCGAGCAGTAATGAATCATTAAAATGGTCCAATCTTAGTTGATTCTTGTACACTGAAGCAAAATGTTAAATTAAAGGTGTCTTTAGTATGATTTAATAGGCACTTATTATCCAACTGCAGCTGGACAGTGATTTATATACTTTGAAATAAGTAAAATAATTCATATTACCATTTGGAAAAGTATCTCATCCCTTAAAATTGTTAGAAATCCAGAGTATAGAATTATCTAACTATGCTAGAAATTCACAAAACTGAAGAGGAAGGAAAAAAGGGAAGGCTCAAGACCAATAAAAATAAAAAGAAATGAATGAAAAATAATATTTTCACCTCCATAATTTCAAATAGAAATATTTTAATAAATGAAATAGGAAAATAAACTTTGACGTTATTTCTTTTGTTATCTGTATTTACTTTTCCACATAATCACAGGTCCTCTCTGCCAACAATGGACAAGTTTCCTAAGGCTGTCATAAAAATCTCCAGTTTATCTACTCTAGACAATTATTTCTAGTACTTCATTTGGGACAAAGAGAAGCCCATAAAGGTATTTCTTCAATTGTGGAAAAAAGTTCAAGTTGCATAGTGCCAAGACTGGACTGCATAGCAGATAGGGTAATACAGGGAGATCCAACTTTGCAGTTGCCTCTTGAATGGTTCATAAAGAGTCCTAGAGTTGTTATGTTGCCGCAAAATGTTCATTTGTTTTTAAACTCTGCTTAATTGTTTAAAAATTTGAAGTATTACAATGTAATCCTCTGAGTTGATTGTGTTGCCAGATTCAATGAAATCCACTGAATAACAATATGGACTGATACTTCATGTCTGAATCATAATCATAAGCCTATGTTTTGTGGTTTGTCACAACGCTGAGACAAAAATTCATCACCTGCTTTCTCATTGCATGACAACAACAACTGCTGTACATTCCAGTTCTTGAAGCTGTTATCTCTGCTGCCAGAATGTGACCAATCTTTTTTGCATAAACTTTCTGATGCTGAAGAATGTCAGTAATGAATTGCATACAGTTCTGCAAAACACTAAGTTTTGCAATTCCCTTCTTATTATCTTTAATTATTTCATCAATTTTTATGATGTAAAACTCTTTTGTTGCTCTTATTGGCCACCTACAGATAATCCTCAACTTACGACTACAATTGACCTCAAAATTTCCCTTGCTAAACAAGGCAGTTTTACCTCATTATACAATCTTTTTTTGCCACAGTTGTTAAGCAAATAATCACATTTGTTAAGTGAACCATGCAGTCATTAACTGAATCTGGCTCCCCTATCGACTTTACTTGTTGGAAGCTGGCTGGGAAGATTACAAATAGTGATCGCATGACCTTGAGGCAGTGCAACTCTCATAAATACATGACAGTGGTCAAATATCCAAATTTTAATCACATAACTGGGTTGCAATAGTTGTAATCGTGAAAAATGGTCATAAGTCACTTTTCCAGCCCCATTGTAACTTTGAATAGTCATTACAAGAATGGTTATAAGTCAAGAACAACATACTTTGTTCTTGATTTCAGAGATCAGCTTTTCCCAGTTCACTATTTTTATCCATTTTTGTCCCAAATAGAGAGACTTCAGCAGTCAAAAATTCAATCACTGCACATTGTTTAAAGTGCATTAAGGAATATTCACTGAGATCTCCATTTTATGAACTATAGTAATGCAACCTTTTGCTATCTGCTATCTGTTAGTGACATTATTTACCCACCTTTAAATAAATAAAGGTTTAAATAAATGATCACATTTGTTAAATAAAGATTTGTAGGGCTGCTTAACTCAAGTCTCCAAAATTAGGTGGTGTACAACATAAACTCATAATAAATTAAAAAAGAAAGAAAGCAAAGAAAATTAACCACAAACAGAACTTAAACTTGTAAATTTGGAAGAAAAATAAACCTGAATTCTTCTCAAAGTCTCCCCCAAGAGAAAGTTCAGAGAGAATAAACACTGTTGCATAAAGATTAAAATGTTCACTTAGCCCTAGGAGGGCTGAGTTCAGTTCCATTAACTATAAAGCTTGCTGAATGGAAGAAAGTTATGTGGGGAAGATACTAATCCTTTTTTCCGATAAAAATAATACTTTTATAGTTAAACTATACAATTCATTGCCAAAAATGCTGAGATAACATCAATTCTTTAGACAATTTTGAAAGATAGTGAAGAAAAAAAAAACAGAGGAAAAATTATTACACTGGCTTCCTGATCCTGATAGCTTTATATAATCTCCAGACCAGAAGGAAATAAACTATGTCTTAAATACCAACTATTGGACAGTAGCAGTAGAAGATGCTATCACCCTCGTATGCTGTTTATGAGTTTTTGGGTTGCATCTGGTTGCTCATTGAGCAAACAGGCCTTAAACCAGAGCCAGCAAGGCTGTCTTGTGTTCTTTACACTTTGATGTTCATGAATGCTTGTAGCCAGATCACTAATATGGACGTGTAGCACTAATTTTTTATTGGTCTTGTCGACATTATAGAGAATCTTGTTTTCCTTGTTCCTAAGTGGTTCCAATTCTGCTGCTGACAGGATCTCTGCCTGTTACCTGAAGATGGTGTGACTTCAAGGTCGCGCTTCACAAAAGCCTTGCGCTTCTCTTCCAGCAACTGGCTTGGGATCAGCCCTGCACTCCCACCTTCCACATGGCAGGCCTGCAAAAACAAAGGGAGGTTTGAGCATCTGAAATAGGGGTCAAGTTCGGTGCTCAACAGGCATTTCCTTTGTTTAAACAGACAGGACCAGGCAGAAAAATTCTTGCATTTTCTTCCTACCAGTTTCCATTTAGTATAATGAAGGAAACTTCTTCATCAACTAAGGAAACTTCTTTAGTTTCTTTAGATTCTGTGCTTTAGAAACCTCTTTAACGACTAAGATAAACTTTGGTAAAATTCTCAAGCATGTGTGTGGTTTACAAGAGGGCCTATATTTCCCTGCCCAGTTCTGTCTTCAGTGGTTTGCATTGGCTCTCCGTATTTCTATTAAGTTCCAAGAAAATTCATATGTGGAGCTTTTTAAATAGGTAGCAAGGCTATGCTACTCTCTATCCTTCTATGCTTATACAATTGGGAGATAATTTCTAATTTTGCCCATCTTCTATGAACCCACAACTTTATTCTCTCACTGCATCTAGGCCACATGGGAAGAAAGAATAATGGGGTGATTTAATGGGAACAAGAGTGGTCTTGCTGCAGTGGCAGATATTCCAAATAATTGCCACCAAGTGGTAGGCAGAATTCAGCGTGCATCAATCTCAAAATATATTAAATTTATATATCTTTGAGGAAGATCAATTACTGTCTCTGTGATAAGAATCATGCAAAATATGCATATAGCCTATACGGTATAGGTAATACTCAACCCATCCCTAATTCAAATTTGATTTCAAGAGCCATGTGGAAAACTGTTAGGAACTACTTTTAACAAAAAGTATAAACTCATATTTAACAAACTCTGTCAAAAGTATTGATGTCAACATCTTTTCCGTACTCCACTTCAGGTTTTAGCAATGGCAGCATCTTCATATCTGCGTTTAGCAGCAGTGGCAGCATCATCATATTGTTCTCCGTTTAATATTAATATTATATTATATTGCCTTCTGGCTAATGCAGTGGTTCTCAACCTGTGGGTCGGGACCCCATTTGGGGTCGAACGACCATTTCACGGGGGTCGCCAAACAACGCAGTCCGCCATTTTTTCCCCCTTTTCCTTAGCTGTGCTACTCCCTTTTAGTCTATTGGCTTTTGAAAGCCAATAGAATAGACTCTCTTGAATAGAGTCTAATTCTATTGGCTTTCAAAAGCCAATAGGAATTGTCCAGGCTGTCTCTGCCCTGCTGAGCCTGCCAAAAGTCCCATTCTGCAAACGGTGCTGCACCAATTGAGTAGTCCTCGACTTACGACCGGTTGAGTAGTCCTCGACTTACGACCGGTTGGGGATCGCGGCATTAAAAAGGTTGAGAACCACTGGGCTAATGTGTTCTAACACCTCTTTTATAACAATCCAGAACAGAGTAAATTTGAGAAAAATGATATATTTCTAAGCCCAATAGATAGCTTGGCAGAAGTTGGAAAAATTTCCAACATACACCAGTAATGAGCAGGGAAAATTTCTTAACATATAAGAGAAGGGAGCTAGAAAGTAGGGCAATTGGCACTTCACCACAAAAAAATGAGAGATGATGGAAACATCAGGGGTTTAACTAAGTGGGAAGGGGTTGGGAGGATTACTGGTTCTATTCTGTTCCATTTAGATTTCAATTTACTGTGAATTTGTTTCTCTTGTTCCACCCAAAATACTCTCTCACTAACAAGACAGATTAAACACCACCTTAGATACAACTACAGAAAGAGATTAACGTAAAAAGACTGTGATTACGTTCCTTTGAACTGAAGCTTGTTAACTTTACAGTAGTACTAAGCTTTTTAGTAAACAGTTATAAATTACCAAGAAGGGCTCAAAATATTTTGCTGCCTGAAACAATGTGTGTTGTCCCCATTCTCCACTTCTATTCCAGGAACAGATATTACATAAACTAGGAACTGGTCAGGACTCTCTGCATTATACTTACAAATAGCATACTAGTTAAGGAATGAAAAATAAACTCTTAAGACATTGGCATGGCTGAGGGTTCTGGAAGAATAATTAGGAAGCTGTTACTACTCTAAAGACATTCTACGTTAGTCAATTGCCTACTTCTACCTAGTGACAAGAGTTCTGAATTTTCTCCTTGCTGGACCTTATATCAAGTCCCAATATTACACATGGCTCATCAACAGACACAAGGGTTATACCTGCCACCAGTTGGGATCATCCTGATTGACAATCTGAAGAAGATCTCCAGCTACAAATTTCAGACCAGCTTCCTTGCATGGAATGAGGTTGTCAGTGACTGGATCATAGTCAAAATGTGCCTTCACAAATACCTGAGGGAAGAAAAGGAAGTTGTGTTAGAAGAATTGTTTCATATTATATATATATATATATATATATATATATATATATATATATATATATATATATATATATATATATATATATAATATATACATATATAATATTATATATATATTATATATATAATATATATTAAGAATTGTTAATAATATAATATAATAATAATAATAATATTGAAAAAAATAGAATAGAAAGAAGTAAAAAGTGCAAGAAAAAAGAGAAAAAATTGGAATATAAAAAGAACAGAAAAAAGAAATATATTTCCAAGTTTTATCATAACAACTATAAATAAATTAATAACTCTTCACTCCCTCTAAGGCTACGAACTTCTCTTCATTCCTTATTCCACTTGGATAAGAAGAACTGTGAAGACTGAGAATCAAAGAACTGATCAAGAGTCACTGAACTCTAACTTATCAAGTTTGAAACAAACAAACAAAACCTGGAGATCTTTAGTGTATTGAGATTTGTTACTGACTTGTTAAGCATTCTGTGATCCAGTATTGTTGCCTGATTACTTTGACTTGCTTGATATAGTGTAATGCTTTGGAAATAATTCTTCTAGAGGCCTCAACAAGGTAAGCACCAGAAAAACTGACTCCTGGCTCTACTACATTTTTCTTGGTCAGAAGAAAAAAATCAAGATTCACCGTATATTGCACAATTGGCTCCACAAAAGTAGGAATACAGAATGTAAAGCTAGTGCAGTAAAATTGTTTGAAAGATGAAAGCGAGAGGAGATGAGGTTGCTTTTCCTTTGGTACTATTTATTAATAAATTGCTTACAGCTGAACATAGTAGCATCAAGAACAGCAATAAAGAATGCAGTAATTCATTCCTGTATTTTCTCCACTATAGATATATTCAGGGACAAATTTATTCTGACCAATATGAGTATATTTTCCTAATACATCCAGATCCACATCTTTTTCTCAGCTGCTTTTCTTAGAATTCATGTTTTTTTACACAACCCAGAATTGCACCTCAAAATCCAAAGAAGTGTGCAAACAGCTACCCGTATTAATAGCTACACTTTCATCTGAATACATTGGGGTAACTGAGATTGCTTATGCACATGGCTTGATGTAACTTTTCTCCATTGCTAACAACAGCCCTCTTGTGACCTAAAACAACAATCCAACAATCAAAGTCATAGCCTACATAGAGTACAATAAAAAAAAATCCACAAAACAAGAGCATAGCCAGTTGTTTCTTTTTTGAACAATGGATCCTGGCAGTGGAAGGCAGCAAATAAAAAGCACATGTAGGGTTTTTATTTATTTTTTTCTTGCATCATAGACTCCTTTTATTTGCACTCCAGCCAGCACAAAACCGTTGATGTCTCCAGAGAAACTGTCGTATCTGAGCTTGTCTGTACAGGACATTTCATTCACACTCCTCTTCCTCCACATACAAAAGCTTGCAGAGATGGAACAAAGACTGGAATTTGCGAAGGAACTCTGAGACTCTATACTTCTTCAACAACAAAGGTAGAAAGAAATTTCAGCTCATCTCTTCCTCAAATCTCCATTTCTGGATTTTCCCTCAACATTTCTACAACGCATAGCATTGAGAATTCAATTCTGTCTGTATAGTAAAAGAGAAATGGATGTGTAGGTCATTGGAAAAGAAAATGGAGACTGGGGTTTCATTGGCTGAAAATAGTTATACATGTGCTGTAGGAATAGTCTGAGACATTGAAATTAGACTAATGTCACTGTCCAAGCATAAATTGCAGGGAAGCCCAAGGCAGAGGCTGAAAATGATAGGGCATATTTTATTGTGAGGCTACTTTTAATTTAGTAAAAGTTAATTCATGTAGCTGTAGCTTGACAATTTTGCTGGTGAAAGCAAAGCATGGAAGGCCACAGTGAGGGGGAAAGGCAATTGATAACAGAGGACCTAACTGGAAGCCACGTTTAACCCTTTCCTCTGTCTTTTTTCTCTGTTGTAAATTGTATCCACAACTGTCATTCTGAACTGGAATTCAAATATCCCCCTGTGATGGGCAGGCAATGGCCATTTCATCCATCTCATCTTTATCCCCCTTCCAAAAAAGGTTGAAGCACCAAAGTTAAATACATTACCCATTCTCAATTGACCTTTCCACCATAGTAAAGTGTATCTGTACTCAATTATAGCTAGAGAAGCTTCCTCCACACAAGTATAGCCTTACAAATGCATTTACATAGAAAAAAAAACCTTACTGGATTTCTGTGTGCCTTAGTTAGCTATCATCTGTTTGTTATGCTCACTGATGGGAAATAAGAAGGGTGTATTAGCAGCTAGCACAGAAGTCCTCAATATGGTATGTGGGGACACTAATGAACCTTCAGTCAGAACTCATGGAATGCATATGGCTCTTTGCTTCTCCTATCTTTAATAGTATATAGATTTTTCTATACAAAAAAAAAAGATACTTGGCTCTAGTATAAAGTAAAGATGCAAACTTTAGTAACATTTTTAACTCCCCCCCAAAAAATAATAATCCTCAGTGTTGTGTCCTGAGCCTGCAAAGACAGGCTCGGGACGTTGCAACAGTCCCGGGCAGTTGCAAGCTGCCCGGGACCAGACTGGCTGGCGCCAGCACTCGCACACATGCGTGAAGTGCAAAGCGCGCCAAATGTTGCCGTTTGGCCCGGGGATTGTCTTTAAGAGAAGGAGAGAGGCTTGTGTGCCTCGGCATTGTAACAGGGCTGCTGAACAACATAAAGAGGCTCCTGAAACTACCAAATGCTTCGTGAAGTTATTGCCATTCACTGAGGACTCAACACTAGTGACGAGGATGGGATGCCTTACAATTACTTCAAACAGTTGTAAGCTTCAGGAGTCCTGAAGCAGCAGGAAACGGCGTTAAACTCAGCAACTGCCTGCCAATACAGCAAACGTTGGAGGTAAGCTGGCTGATAGACCCTTCCTGTATTACTGAAGATGGCAAAGATAGGAAGACTTTCCGAGTTCGATGTTACGCATCCGGAAAGATGGGAGTCTTATGTGGCCAGAGTAGAAAATTATCTCAAGGTCAATCAAGTGAGAGAAGATGGCTTAAAAGCTGCCACCCTGCTGTGTGTTTGTGGTCAAGATGCATTTGAGATCGCTGAAAATCTAGCAGCACCTGCACTTCTAGAATCTGTTACCTACACAGACTTAAAGAAATTGCTAAAGGAACACTTCCAGCCCAAGTTGTCTGTCATTGCTTGGCACCATACTTTTGAACAGAGGGATCAACGGGCTGGTGAATCAGCTAAAGAGTACATTGCTGCATTGAGAAGAGCAGCTAAGCCTTGTGAGTTTAAAGACTTAGAAGAAAGGCTGAGAGACAGATTTGTATGTGGACTGAGACATAGAGACTTGCAGCAGAGACTTTTTGCCAAAGAAGACTTATCATTCCAAGATGCCTTGAGAGAGGTTACTGCAGAAGAGGCAGCAGGTGGGGCAATCAAGAATATGAGGCCTATCAGAAGTACTCCAGAAGCTGTGTCCGTGCACCAGGAGGGAGTCCAAGGGAGCTCGGAAGAGGATCCTGATGAAGAAGTAGGCTGTCTCTACCCAACAAAAGAAGGGAAGCAGAAGGAAGGCAAAGAAAAGTCTTCAGCTGTCCCCAAGTGCTTCGGGTGTGGAGGTCGCCACAAGAGGACCGACTGCAGGTTTCGCTCTGCTATCTGTAGAGCATGTGGAAAGCAAGGCCACATTGTAGCTGTGTGTCTGGGCTGTCAGAAGGTACAATCCCGAGAAGAATTGCGCCTGAAAGGTACCAGGGTCCCCAGCCAAAACAGGGTGGGTTTCTGTGCTTCACGAAGAACCATTTATAGGACAGGTACACAGAAGCCTATCAAGAAGAAACTGTCACTTAAAGTGAAGTTGCAAGGGGTTCCATTGGTCATGGAACTGGACACTGGGTCTGCACTTTCAATCATTTCCATACATACATTCAGAAAGATTTGTTCTGGTAGTGGATTTCAGGCCAAGCTTAGGCCTTCTGACATTGTGTTAACAGACTTTCAAAACTCCAGAGTGTGTGTTAAGGGGGAGGCCACCCTTAACATACAGTATAAGGATTTTGAAGGTCCATTAGATGTATTGATAGTGGGGGATGAGCGAACGAGTCTCATAGGACTCGATTGGTTTGAGGCCTTGGGAATACATGTTACAGGGCTCAATAGCTTGCAAACAGTAGATCTACAGGAAGTCTGCAAAGAATTTGCAGATGTTTTCAGCCCACAGCTGGGCACATACAAAGGGCCCCCTGTGTCCTTAAAACTAGACCCCACTGTCACTCCTATTAGAGTAAAAGCAAGAAGGGTTCCTTTTGCTTTAAAAGGGAAAATTGATACTGAATTGGACAAATTGATTCAGCAAGGAGTTTTAGAACCTGTTGATTCCAGTCCTTGGGAGACCCCCATAGTCACGCCTCTTAAGGCTAATGGGGACATTCGCATCTGTGCAGATTACAAATGCACTCTTAATAAGGCATTGCAGCAACATGCCTATCCTGTACCTGTAGTCAGTCATATCCTGGCCTCCCTCAAGGGGGGGGGGCGTGTTTTTGCAAAGCTTGACCTAGCTCAGGCTTATCAACAGTTGCCTGTTGATGAAGCTGCTGCTGTAGCACAAACCATTGTAGCCCACAGGGGGGCATTCAAAGTAAAGAGGCTACAATTTGGAATAAATGTGGCTTCTGGAATTTTCCAAAGCATAATGGAAAACACACTGAGGGGTATACTAGGGGTTTGCCCCTATTTTGATGATGTCTTAATTGCTGGAGACTCCACCCAAAATTTAGCTGAGAGATTGAGGGCTGTCCTGCTGCGGTTCTGGGAAACGGGCCTCAAACTCAAGAAGGACAAATGTAAAATTGGGGTGCCTTCTACAGATTTTCTGGGATTCAAAATTGATGCCAATGGGATTCATCCTGCTGAGTCCAAATTAAAGGCCATCATGCATGCTCCTAGGCCTAAGTCTAAGGCCG